AACTTCCTCGATGCTTTCCGCCAGATCCACGCCGAGAAGGAGGGTGCCGAGGTCCGCTCATACGTCGACATCCTGAACACTGCCGACGTCAAGCAGTACAGCTTCTGGAACCTCGACGAATCAACCGCCGCCAACGCCCCTGTTGTTGTTGGCAAACTCCTCTCAAGTGACTCTTCCAAGAACGTCTTCGTTCGCAGCGGCCACGACAATCTCGTGCAGGGCGGTGTTACGCGCACCGACATCCGTAATGCCGACTACACCATCGAAGCGCCTTATGCTGTTGAGCAAGCCGATGTCGCTTTCGTCGGCGACATTGCTATCTTAAAGGAGTTTGATGTCCTGAACAGCGTCAAGCCTGACAGCTCCATCATCGTCAAGCTGCCCGGTGTAAAGAACGAGGACATTGAGAAGAAGCTCTCGCCTGCTTTCCGCAAGGCCCTCGTGGACAAGGACATTCAGCTCTTCGTCCTTGACCCTGCTTCATCTGAGGCTGTCGCTGAAGATGAGTCTCTAGAGTCTTACCTCACCCAGCTTGCCTTCTTGAAGGTTGCTCGCGAGGACTTGCTCTCCTCTGGCCTGAGCAAGCTTGCTGCTATCAACGGTAGCTCAGAAGTCTTCGACCAGCTCACCCAGCAGCTCGAAAGCGCTCTTCGTGAAGTCGAAGTCCCTGCTGCTTGGGGCACTGTTGAGGAGGATGTTGAGCCCATTCGCCTCCCCTCAGACATTAACGTTAACAGCTTTGCTCCTTTCGACCGCATTGAGGCCGAGCCACCAACCCTGCTCAAGGACTGGCAAGTCGCAGCCAAGGGCTTTGCTTTCAAGGAGGCCTTCGGCACTGCCAACCAAGTTCGTCCCGATCTTGGCTTCAAGACCAGTATCGTCCATGTCAAGGAGCGTCGCCGCCTCACACCGCAAAACTACGACCGTAACATCTTCCACATCGAGTTCGATCTCGGTAACTCTGGTGTTACTTACGCCATTGGCGAGGCTCTCGGCATCCACGCAGAGAACGACGAGGCACAAGTTGAAGAGTTCATCAAGTGGTATGGTCTCAACCCCAATGAGATCGTCGAGGTCCCGTCTCGTGACGACCCCAACGTTCTGGTCAACCGCACCGTCTACCAGTCTCTTATGCAGAACGTCGACATCTTCGGTCGCCCACCAAAGCGCTTCTACGAGTCGCTTGCTGAGTTCGCTGATGACGAGCGTGAGAAGCGCGAGCTTCTGCAGCTTCTGAGTGCTGAGGGTGCCACTGAGTTCAAGCGCCGTGCTGAGGTTGACACTGTCACCTACGCCGACATCCTCCTTGAGTTCCCGTCTGCACACCCAAGCTTCCACGACATCGTTCGCATTGTCAACCCCATGAAGCGCCGCGAATACTCCATCGCCTCCGCACAGCACGTAACCCCTAACTCCGTTTCTCTGCTCATCGTCACCGTCAACTGGGTCGACCCCAAGGGCCGCGACCGCTTCGGTCAGGCGACTCGCTACCTCAACAGCCTGAAGGTTGGCGCGCCTGTCACCGTTTCCGTCAAGCCATCTGTCATGAAGCTTCCTACCAAGACCACCGCGCCCATCATCATGGCTGGTCTCGGAACTGGTCTCGCGCCTTTCCGTGCCTTTGTCCAGGAGCGCGCCTACCAGAAGCAGCAGGGTCACGAGATTGGTGAAGTCCTACTTTACATGGGCGCTCGTCACCAGCGTGAAGAGTACCTCTACGGCGAGGAATGGGAGGCATATCAAGACGCCGGTATCATCACCCTCCTCGGCCGCGCCTTCTCCCGTGACCAGCCTCAGAAGATCTACATTCAGGACCGTATGAGGGAGTCTTTGAAGGACATCCGCAGGGCGTACCTCGAGAAGGAGGGTAGCTTCTACCTCTGTGGACCGACATGGCCGGTACCTGATGTCACCGAGGTGCTTCAGGAGGCTGTTGAAGTTGAGCACAAGGTCAAGAACGTTGGCGCCAAGAAGATTGATGGACGCAAGGAGATTGACAAGTTGAAGGATGATGGCCGTTACGTGCTTGAGGTCTACTAGGACACACGTTGAAATGAGATAGATCCACGATATTCCATTATCATTAAGGCTTTGTGCCTGTTACTGCAAACTATCTCGCTATACATCAAACACTATTCGTGATTTTTCGAGTGCTTCACAGCCTCGTCGTCAGTGGGAACAGGGAGTTCAACTGGTTTTCACTGACCATGCAGCCCCAACTCTTCACCCAAGGGAAGTTGAAATCTTTGCCAAAAGTACCTTCGCCAAACTCTACTTCTTCGACATGCTCGCCATGCTCACTTGCTTGTGATGAAGACGTGCAAGTTTGATCTCCGCCCTAACGACGGCCATCGCCGCCTTGATACTCTCCTCGTCTTCGGCCATGTCAGCGTCATCGACCATGGCTCCTTCGTGACCGTCGACTCCTGGTTCACCGAAGTTTTCAGCCTGCTCGCCGTCAAGGCCGGCTGACTCGCGCTTGATCGTGGGGATGTGGCGACCTGCGCGCGCAGGATCTGGGGTACCGGGCGGATGGGCCATTGGTGGTGGTTGGCGAGAGAAAGGTGGGAAGGGAGATGGATGAGATGGTTGGCGGCATTGGTTGGGAAATGGGGGCTGGCCGTACGGTGGATAGCCGTAGCTGTTGAAACCTGGGTAGCCGCCATTACCACCGAACCCACCACCCCGTGGAGGCATCATCAGCGGACGACCCCATGGATCGAGGGGCGGAGGCTGGCCGTAGTAATGACCATACATACCGGGCGGCGGAGGATGAGGCGGCGTCGGCGACTCCTCCTTGACGGGTTCTTTCTTGGGTGTCTTGTGCTTCTTACCGCGAGGCGTCGACGAAGGGGACTGTTGGTAACCACCCATCACCCGGTGACCATCCGAAGCACCTCCGCCGAACTTCTGCTTCGCATCGTCATCCGACTCCGAATCAGACCCCCCAGAACTGTCCTGACCACCACCACTACCCTCCCCACCATCATCCTCCTCCTCACTAACCTTCATAATTCTATCCACATCCTCCTCAGTCTGGATCTCCTTGGCCTTGACAAGCAAATGCTTATACCAGACCCCAAACGCATACTCCACCTCCCAGTCTTTAACCAACATATCCTCCATGACATCAAAGTCCGTGCTGCAGAGCTGTGGCTTGCGGTTTCCAGTGTTCTTGACCCGGTAGCGGACGACTTCGTTCATGGTAGCCGCAAGCCACTTTCGGTTCTTGGTGAGCTTGGCGACCATGAGGATGGATTTTAGGACTAAAGGGAGCCATTTCATGGGGTCGTTTTCGTGGGCGCGGTTGTAGTTTCGTTTTGTGCCGTTTTTGTACTGTGGGGTGTTGGTGGAAGGGAAGGGGTAGGGTGGTGGGTGGGTACTTACTAGGGGGCGGTGGCATTTGGGGATGTGGGTTTTGACCCAGTTCTTGCCCCAGAAGCTTTCGATGCTTTTGATCACGGCTTTTTTGGCTACTAGGTCGTTCTTCAAGATGGGTCGCGGTCTGGCGGGTAGTGGACTGGGTTTCTCGGCAATATCTGGGGCGGGCTTCTTTGGCGACGGCTTGGTGGGCTTGCGCGCTGACGAGCGTAGGTTGTGGCGCTGACGGGTGGAGGCGATAGGTTCATCGTCTTCTGATGAGGAGGGGATCGTCTGGACTTTGGTGGGCTGGCGCTTTACGGGCGTCACCTCTTTGACGTCGTCGTCTGAGACGAAGATGCTCTCCTGGGCGGTTGAGCCGTTCTCAGCGTCTACGCTCGCCTATTGGGTTGGTCAGCGCTGTAAACACAAAAGCTATCGTAGGAGCATTCGCGACAACTATCTCATACAGAAAAGCTGCTAATACGGAAGCCTGGAAGTCGTCGCGATGGTTTTGTCGTTACCACTGGCGCAGTGACGGGTTACTTACCGGGTGCAAGGGAGCAGCGGACTCCGACTTCACGCGCGTCTCAACGACTTGGGGCGCAGGTGGTGGCGAGTCATCTTCGAGGCCCCATTCTGGACTCGACATACGCTCAAGCGATTCTGGAGAGTACGAGTGATCCATATTGACACGCGGGCGAGTCATGAAGCGGAGGGATCAGGAGTTGATAGAAGAGGTATATACTCAAGTTTTTTGATGATGAGCCGCAAATGTAATAAGATGGAAACTTAGGCGGTCGCTCTGAACTGGCCGTTGCTGCGGAGGATAGGTAGTCTGTCACTGAAGAGGCTTGGTTATATACACTCACTCGATAACAAAGACGCACGGTCGGTGGGAACCCACTAGCGCCCATGTGACATCGAGATGTGTGGGGTAAATCTGTACCTGGGCGGTGGTGATAGAGGGACAGACGTCGCTTAGGACCGACGGTGAGAGAGGTCACGCAGCGACTGCCCGGTGGGGCACTCTGGCCAACCACTGCGCGGCGGTGGATCAAGAAAGTGTAGATATTGTTTCTGCGTGGCGGCGGTATTTTATAGACAGCAAGACTCCGTCCTACAAACAGGCAAGCACAAGCGGCCCCAGTGCAGCTCTTGTTTGACAATCGCGACGTACCACGGGTTCATTGATGTTAGAGTCATGGCGAAAAATTGGACTATTGCCATCTTCTCCTGAATTCTATCATGATATCACTGTCGACCGACAGTACCTGCAAAGTTCTGGTCTGACAACGCCTTAGTCGACATATCTGGATGGTTAACACGCTTGAAGATAATTCTAGGTCGACAGTATCTTTGCTTAGCATATTAGTAGCACGATACCTACCAAAATCTTCTTGAAACAACTAAATATGGAACTGATGAAACGCAGTTAACTAGATGATCGAACTGTATTGCCAAGAAGAAGAGGTGATATCTCTTACACGAGAACCAAGAAGATGAATTGTTATGCTGCTGAAGCCTTCGAGCAAGGAATAAATGAGGACAAAATTTCCATCCGAAGAATTTTAGCAGCAACACCGAATGGTTGGCGAGATCAATTCGCATAACACTGTCCAATTGCTATTATTTGTAGTCTACAACCGACTTTGAATCTTCTCCAGCGTATCGCCCAAAGCGTACTCGCTTGCGACAGTCTTGCTCCTGACCTTTTCTCCGTCCTGCTTGGTCACGTAGCGCGCCTCCACAGCCGGGTTGTAGGAGAATTGACTCGCTTTCTTCACTTCTTCATCACTCATCTTTGCATTTTTCTGGCCATCCGCACGTTTGTAGACGTTGATGACAACAGCTCCACCCAAGCCGAGGTTGTGCTGCAGCGCAGCGTCGGCCCCTTCAGCAAGTCGGTTGTTGGCCCAGCCACGAAGCTGCCATGTCAATTCCGCACATTGTGCGAGTCCTGTTGCACCGAGAGGATGTCCTTTGCTAATAAGACCGCCTGATGGGTTGACGATCGGACCCTTGCCGCCGTATGTGATGTCGCCATTGCGTACCATCATGTGTGCTTTTCCGGGCTCGCTGAAGCCCAAGCCTTCCAGTAGAATGAGTTCATTGGCTGAGAAGCAGTCATGCAACTCTGCAACTTTGATGTCTTTTGCGTTGACGCCAGCCTCCTTCAAAGCTGCTTGCGCCGCGCGCTTGGTCATGTCGTAGCCGACGAGATCCATCGATGACTTGGAGTAGAGCTGTGGTGAATCTGTCATCAACGATTGGCCTGCGATGAGGATAGCTTGACTCTTCAGGTGTGGCCTCGCGTCCAAGAATTTCTGGCTCACGATGACCGCCGCACCCGCGCCATCGCTTGTCGGGCTGCATTGGAGTTTGGTCAACGGGAAGTGAATCATAGGAGCCTTCTCGATCTGTTCAAGTGTGTACACATCCCTGAACTGCGCGTAGGGGTTCTTTTGGCTGTGTTCATGGCTGATTCTTGCAATCTCAGCGAAGTCACGCGCCTCGGCGCCATACTTCTCCATGTACTCAAGACCGGCATTGGCGAAGTATTGAGCATTGGGTGGAGAGTTGCTTATACCGCGCGTATCGGCCATCATACGCATCGAGAGCCCCATAGGAGAGGGTCGGTCACTCCATGCCGATTTGATGGATCCTGGTTGCATCTGTTCAAATCCAATGACCATCGCGCAGTCAACTGCTCCGTTCTTGATCAGTGTTCGCGCCAGATGCAGTCCAGTTGAGCCGGTAGCGCATGCATTGTTCGTGTTGTAGATAGGGATACTAATGGCTGTCAGTGCCTCAAGACTTCAAAACAAGGCTATTGACTTTCATACCCCGTCATGCCGAACTGGTAGAAGATCCTTTGGCCACTCGTGGTGTCGCCATAACAGTAACACGCAACACCAGTCTCAACCTCATCATAATTGATTTGTGCGTCCAGCATTGCTTTCACACCCGCTTCATAGCCCATTTCCGGATATGCGCGGGTCTGTCGAGGCTTGATGAACTTGGTCAGCCCGACACCAAGGACATATGCTGGAACCTCATTTTTCGTCATTGTGATGTGATGAAAGCGATGGACTCTGTGCAAAAGTGATCAAGTTGTAATGGTAGATTCGATACGACTGTTGGTATGCCTAGATATTGTTTATGGTAAGTAGCTGCCGGGAGGCGACACCCCTGGGCCGAGGTTCGACTACCCCACTTGTACACCTCCGCAGCATCAGCACGTTCGACTCGTTCCTTACTCAGCGGAAACACCCACCGACCTAGTTTGGAGACAGTTCAACAACCTTTCGAACCAATCGAAGCACTAGTCTATGCTTGACAGGTCGACGTCCTCAACCGCTGCGCCGTGCTTCTGTGGTAGGCGATCGGCATACAGCTAGCACGGTAGCTGCTTGGGCGCATCCGACCTCACGACTTCATCTCGTTGCTCACGGCTGAGTATCGAGCAGCCATCGCACTATCGTCATCCGGATACAAAGTCGTACTTGTCCCCCGGAAAGATCGCAGGTCGCATCGTCGCAAATATGCTAAAGCTTGCACGCGCGAAAGTCCGTCGGCTTTGCGCGTCACCTTCTCAAAATCCGACTGTTGCATCGATGCAATTCTTCGAAAATGCCGTTCTGCCGTATTTTGATTGTTGCAGAACGACCGACGCCGAAAATTGACACGATCCATGGCTTTTCGCATTCGGCTTCGGGCCACAACGTGATCAAAGCAGCCTGACTCCTGCAGCCACCGGGTGCAACAGCCGATGAGGAACACCCGACTCAACAATCAAGCCCTTGAACAGCGAGCGCGATCCATCGCAGATGGTGTTTTGCTTGGAGGCCCACGCGCAATTTGCGAAGGATAGCGGTTCCTGCCTTGGCGGCGTTTCGAAACGGCTCTAGCATCCACCTCAACGTCAGGTTCATGCCATGGAAACATGAAACATCGTCGTCGACGAATGAACGCAACCGTGTTACCGAACAGTGCGTCGGCATATTTCCGTCCAAGCTCCACCCAATCTACTTAGTACAGTGGTGCAAACGCCAGTTGACCGTTCTGACACCTGTAGCGCCACCTATAAACCATGTTCCTGGGCATCGGAGGTCCAGATTCCAGGTTGACAACGTGGTGAGGCTGCATCATGAGCTTGTTTGACGGGCGCTAGGTCGGAGAAGGATTTCATCCTTGGAAGTGGCAGATTGAGGGAAACATGGTCCACAATAGGTATTGTCTTCATATAAGGATGCATCTTGCGGCGACTTATTCGGTACACGCTCTTTCGCTTTCGTCCATTCTTTCGCTTTACTTGCTCGTTCTACGAACGTTGCTTTCCAGTCATTCTTTACAGCCTTGACGGCTTCACACTCTTTTTTTGCGGCAGTGCCACACCATTCTTTCCTCCACTTCAGTCATCACTCACAGCGTCACAATGGCACGCTCATTCCTTCTTTCCACTGCCATTCTGGCTCTTGGCGCATCAGCGCAAACATCTGGCAAGTTCACAGATGAAAAGACAGGCATCACCTTCCAGGGTTACCATCACTCTTCCGGCTACACACTGGGTTATGCCCTACCTGAGAAGCCTACTACGGATGTCATCATTCAGCTTCAAGCACCCATCACCAACGATGGAGGTTGGGCTGGTTTCAGTCTGGGACAATCTATGACCGGTAACCTGCTGGTCGTTGCTTGGCCTCACGAGGACAAGGTCCTTGCATCATTCCGGGAGGCAACTGGCTACACCAACCCAGCTGTCAAGACCGGTGACTTCACCATGTCTCCTATCCCGGACGGTACTTTCGTCAACGACACCGCCTTCTCATACACATTCTTGTGCTCAAACTGCATAAGCGACGACCCATCTACTGGCCTTGTCATCTACGAGGACCCAAGCGTCAACGTTCAGGGCTGGGCTTACTCTGACAAGCCGCTCGCCGACTCCTCGACTGCTGGCGCGGTTCTCAACTACCACGACGCTGGTTTCGGAGCTTTCGGACTGCCCATGAGCAACGCCACTAGCCCCGATTTCGAGAAGTGGGCTGCCCTCGCGGTAGCTGGTACCCCTAGCACCCCCGGCGCTGGTAACTCTACTGCCCCAGCCACTGGTGGCAACTCGACTGCCCCAGCTGGTGGAAACACCACAGCCACCATCGCAAACTCTACCTACGACTACATCGTTGCTGGAGGGGGCGCCGCCGGTATCATCGCAGCTGAGAGGTTTGCCGAGAGCGGCGCGTCTGTCCTCTTGATCGAGCGTGGTGGCCCATCCTACGCGTTCACTGGCAAGACTGAGGTCATGCCTTGGAACGACACTGTCTCCATGTATGATGTTCCTGGATACGGCTACTACCTCAGCGATGTCGGTAGCCCAGCTTACTGCGCCGACACTGCGGATATGGCTGGCTGCCTGCTTGGCGGCAGCACTGCGATCAACGCCATGATGTACGTCAAGCCCCAGGAGCGCGACTTTGACGACAAGTGGCCCGCTGGCTGGAAGTGGACCGATGTCGCCAAGGCGGCTGACCGTCTGTACGAGCGTAACCCCGGTCAAACCTACGGATCCGAAGATGGTGTCCGCTACGATGATGGCGCCTACGACGTCCTCTCCAAGTTCTTCGAGGGCCAGGGCTGGACCGAGACCGACTTCGTCAAGGACCCCAACGCAAAGGTCGATGTTTACGGCCACCCCACATGGAACATCGCCGACGGTCTCCGTTCCGGTGTCGTCAGGACCTACCTTCCCCTCGCCCAGAAGCTCGACAACTTCGAGCTGATGATGAACACCAACGTCGTCCGCGCTGTCCGTGAGGGATCGGCGGTCTCTGGTATCGAGGTAGAGACGGCGGATGGCAAGCGCGTCATTTATAACGTCAACAAAGGAGGTAGCGTCATCCTCGCAGCCGGATCCATGTCTACTCCCCGCATTCTCTTCAATTCTGGAATCGGTCCCGCCGACCAGCTCAAGACAGTTGCCAGCGGCAGCAGCAAGGTCACTCTCCCCGACGAGGCTGACTGGATCGATCTCCCGGTTGGTGCTGAGATCAAGGACCACCCCATCTTCACTGTCAAGTTCAACACCAGCACACCGCTTGCTGCAACTGACAAGGACGCGCTTATCACCCCCAACCAGACCACCATCGATCTGTTTGCCAAGGGCTCCGGTGAGCTCGCTCAGTCTGGTCAGCGTCTCAACTGGTGGTCATCCGTCAACACCACTGATGGCAGCGAGATCTTCTTCCAGGGTACTTGCAACTCGCCTTCCGACAACACCATCCAGATGAAGGTCTACATCACCCACGGTCTCCAGTCTGTCGGTAGCCTCGGTATCACTGCTGATGGCGCCACCTCCTTCATCACCGACCCCCACATGACTTCCGATGTCGACACCGAGGCCATTACCATGATGATGGACCGCTTGATCGCCATGACAAAGGGTGGCAACTCCACTCTCACTGTGCAAGCACCTGCCGGTGTCTCCAACGTCACTGGTGCAGACCTCATCAAGTCCTTCAAGACCGGTAGCCACTACGTCGGCACTGCCAAGATGGGAACCAAGGGAGATGCTGGTGTTGTTGTTGACACTGACACCAAGGTCTACGGTACCGACAACCTTTTCGTCGTCGATGCCTCCATCCACCCCGATCTTCCCACTGGTAACACTCAAGCCATCGTCATGGTTGCCGCCGAGGCCGCTGCCGAGCGCATCCTAGCCCTTGGTGGTAGCCCTGCCAGCGGTACCACTCCTGCTACCCCTGAAGAGGTCAGCTCCGGCGTACCAGTTGCTACTGCCTCGGCCCCCGCTGCCTCATCCGCAGCGCCCACCAGCGCGGCGTCGTCTGCTGCCCCTACCGCCGCACCCGAGGAGTCAGCACCACCTGCTGAGTCTGAGGCACCTGTTGCATCTGCCTCTCCCAGCCCGTCTTCGCCCGCTGAGTCTTCTTCCACTCCCTCCGCGCCTGCTGAGTCTGCTCCTACCACCACACCTGCCCCCGCTGAGCCCGCCCAGCCCAGCACAGCCGGAGCCTACGAGCGCTGCGGCGGCATCGGTTTCACCGGCCCCACCGCTTGCGCCTCCGGCTGGAAGTGCGTCAAGCAGAACGACTACTACTTCCAATGCCTCCAGGGTTCGGCTTCTAAGCGCGGCCGCTCCGAGCCTGTGTCCCTTCGTCACGACGCCCCCACCAGGCGTGCGATGAACGGCCACAAGCCCGTCAGCCCTGTTGTTGTCAGGGAGCACGTCCATGCTCAGAAGCTTGGAAGGGCTACCTTTATCGACTCTTACCAGTCATAGGATCTGGAAGGATGGAACGTTCTGAGTGAGACGTGAGGAGGAAAAGTTTTCTTGTATATAAATATTACATTCTGTTGGCTGCGCCTTTTGTATAGTTCAATCAAATCATCATGATAAACTTCAGGGCTTGGTCTATGTGTGACGCGTTTTTCGTTGTCTGATCGCAAAGCCAGCTCATATAGCCCCGTAATTGGAAGCTAATCTTGTTGACTTGTGTAAAAGATATCTGAAGGTGCTCGCACCAGTCCCTGGCTTTTTGAAATGAATGAGTAGCGACAGCAAGTGTAACGTTGGGTGAAAATGTGACATCATGTCTGCATTGCAGGGCATATTGCAAACAAAGGCTTCATAATCGACAATAGTACATTGAGTGGGTATAGTGCCATGATCTAAAAGGCAAACTCATGCTGTGAAAAGCGAGAGAGGAAGAATTACAACAGTACGTTGGAAGAAGAAATAGAAGCACATGCATCATTCGCACTCGTACGTCACGGCAAGCATGTTCAACATGCAATCCTCCCAAGAAGAAAAGACCTCTAGTCCTGCTCAACGGTGAGCTTGTGGGCGGTCTTCGTGCTCTCAGAGATGGCCTCATTGTTGAGCTCAGCGAGCTGGTTCAGGGTCTCTTGCATAGCTGCCAACTGCTAGCGGCGGATTAGCGATCTGTACCTGATGTGCGACAAACCGGGCAAAACAATCACATGCAGGATAGGGTGTTACTTACAGTTCCCACCACGTCCTTGTGGTCACTGGCGCCGTTTGTTTTGGGAGCCTGAATGCCCGGCGCCATGGCTTCGTCATCTTCCTCGTCCTCTTCTGCGAGAGTGTTGATCTTACGCTGCTCGCCTATGGTCGCTGCAGCACGAGCAATGCGATCACCGGCGGCGATGATGGCTTCAAGGCGGTCGATCTTGTCCGTGAGGAAGGCGTTCTCCTTCTCCAAAGGCTCAACCCGTGCCAGGTGCTTGCGAACGACCTCGCCTTTCATGGTCTCGATGCGGTCTTCGGCGTCCTGAGCGGCTCTCATGGCTTCATCACGTTGTCGCTCCACCTCACGAAGCTTTTCTTCGTAATCATTTCCGTTCGATGTGGAGGCTTCCGGGATGTCGGTGATTGGGACTTGCTGCGGTATGTCCTTGTCTGAGGATGCTTGTGTGGCTGCCTCTTGCCTTACAGCTTCAAGTTCGCTGGCATGCCGGGAACGCTCTGCTTCCAGCTCAGCGGCAAGAGCAGCGTACTTCTCTTGCAGTTGCTGCAAAGCATCGGAGGTGCTAGCCTCCATGCCAACCATCAATTCGCTGATAGCTTCCTCATGTGCCTGGTCCATAGACGCCTTCTGCTCGGTGAGATCAGAGTGCCGTTTCTGCATAGTCTCAAGCTGTTGTTTCAAGGCTTGCATGTCATTCGAATGACCTGCTTGGAACTCGTCTTTCAGTAGCTCAATTGCGTCACTCTGCTCTTGATCTGTCTTGGCAATCTTTTCTTGCAAAGCGTTGTAGTCGGATTGCAACTTCAATAGGGCCTGCTCATGGTCCTGCGAGAGAGAGTCCCTGAGCAACGTCATGGCATCCTGATGCTCCTTCTCCGCAGCAGTTTTCTCTGCGAGAAGATTCTCGTATTTCAGGGTCATCTCGTCATCTCCGGTGGATTGCACTTCATCCCTCGTGGAGAGTCCGGACTTGAGCTCGTCAATCTCAGCGTTCAGCTCTTTCCTAAGAGCAGCGAGCTCGTTGAGGGCGGATTGTTTTCCCGATAGCGCCGTAGACTTCTCTTGTTCCAGTCGATCGGCGTCGCTTTGCATGATCTCAAGTAGACTAGCATACTTTTGCTCAATCTCAGCCTGTTGAGTTTCGAGTGCTTTGGCGTGTGCTTCCTCGGTCACCAGCTGCCCGGTGAGCACGTCTGCGTGGCTCTTTTCGAGTTGTGAAAGTCGCTTGGAAAGGTCGTCACGCTGGCTCTGGAGAGCATCGATCTCAGCCTTATGTTTAGCCTCGATATTGTTAATCTCTTCCATGGCAGCATCGTGCTTCATTTGCAAAGTGCTTAAAGCTTCGGACATGTTCTTTACGTTGTCCTGAGCTTGGTCGTACTTGGCTTGGAGCTCGATCAGAACCTCTTTGGACGCGCCCTCTACCTGTTCCTTTAGGTGCATGATAGCTTGGTTGTGCTCATCATCAGCCGCAGACTTCTCTTCCAGGAGTACGTCGTACTTGGATTGAAGCTCGCCTAGGATCGACTTGGTGGTGCTTTCCGACTCAGATTTCAAAGCCTCAATCGTTTGAGTATAGGTTGCTTCGGTTGCGTTTTTCTCTTCGAGCAGTGCGTCGTATTTGGCTTGAAGCTCGTCGATGAGCTGTCTCGATGTGTTCTCATGTTCCTGCTTCAAAGCCTCGATCGCATGTTCGTGTTCGTCATCGGATGCAGTCTTCTCGCGCAGCAGACTGTCGTATTTAGATTGGAGTTCTTCGATTAGTTCTTTTGAAGAAGCATAGGCATCGGCGTCCTGCTTCTGGGTCTCCAGCACACGATAGTGTTCCTGCTCTGCCGTCTTCTTCTCTTCCAGCAAGGTATCATACTTCGCTTGTAGTTCAGCGAGCAGATGCTTGGACTGGCTTTCAGAGTCCTGCTTCAGCGCTTCAATCGCTCGGCTATGAGCGTCTTCAGCAGCGGTCTTGTCTTCCAGAAGGGAGTCGTGACGGGCTTGTAAATCGGCGATGATCGACTGGGTCATTCCATGCGCCTCTTCTATGGCCGCTTTCTCCTCCTTCAGACGATCTAATTGAGACTGGACGTCTTTGACAGTGGCGGCTTCCTGGGTGAGGGCATCAACGCGGGCTTGAAGGTCGGCGACTAGAGACTGCGAGATGCCGTGTGCCTCCGTGAGAGCCACCTTCTCTTCTTCGAACTTCTTGAGCTTCATAAGCGCATCGTCTCGATTTTTGGTGGCGCGAGCGGTACTCTCCTGGGCTTCTTCTGCCTGCTTCTTGACAGCTTCAAGCTCGCTGGATCGTTCGGCAAGGATCTGTTCGTGTTGTTCCAGTGTTTTGCTCTTCTCGGTCACGAGGGAGTCGTAGTCAGCCTGCAGGGTGTTCAGTCGTTTGGTTGCGTCTCCTTCAAGATCCGCCCGAAGCGACTCAATTTCGCGTTCATAGTCCTCGCCAATGACCCGGAGATCTTGCTTGTGTCTATCGTGCAGCGTATCAAGCTCTGCCTTGTGGGCTTCCACCTTCTTGTTCGCGTCGTTCAGTTCGGCTTGGACTTTAGCCATGTCGGAGGCGTACTGAGACTCTTGCTGTTGCGAGGTTTTCTCGAGTGTCTCGATGGTGTTGCGGAGACTTGCGGCCTCTTCCTTCAGCTGTTCAAGCTCGGCGGCGTCAGTGGTAAGCTGCTCGTTCATGGCATCCAGTTGTCGCACAAGCTCCTCGTTCTCATCGGTCTTGACTTTGATCGCTGCCTCATGAGCCTCCTTCAGTTCTTGGATTTGCTTGTGCAGCTCTTCAGCGACTCTGGCACCGTCAGTTGAACCTTGCTGCAGAGCCACGATTTGTTCCTGGAGACCATCGATAGACTTGAGATGACCAGAAAGCTCGTCTTCTCTCGCTTGCAGCTCTGCTTCTGAACTCTTCTGTAGCTCCTCGATCTTGGCCTGCATCTGTTCTGCGTGGGCGTTGCGTTCGGTGCCCAGGTCAGCAGAGACTTGATCAGCCCGTTCTTGCAGCTTGGCAATATCGTCTTGAAGCTCTTTTTGCGCCTGAATGTGAGACGCGATAGTCTCTTCCTTGAGGCGCAGTTCGTCAGTGTGTTTCTGATGTAGCGTCTGGATCTCCGACTGAAGTTGCTCCACGACAGCTGAAGACTCAGAGGACTTTGACTCAAGAGACCGTTGTGCTTCTTGGAGGGCATTGGTATGCCTCTCCTCCCGAGAGGCAACCTCTGTCACGTACTCATCGACAGTCTTGGTCAGCTCGGTGATCTTAGCATCGCGCGATCGGAGATTGTCGGATTGGGTCTGCTCGAGCTCCGCAAATTTCGTTTCGAGGTTTTCCAGCGTCTTCTTGGCGATGTCCAGCTCTTGCGACAAGCTGTCACGCTCACCCCGAAGCGTGGAAATCTCCTTGTTGAGCCCTTCGATCTGCGCAGCTTGCTCGACGAGCTTCTTCTTCTCTTCGTCCCATTGCTGGCCCTGTTGTTCCAGCTCAGCGTTCAAATCGTCCAAGACCTGCTGCAGCTCGCTGGCCTTGGCTGCCTCGGTTGCCTCCCTCTCTTGAGCAGCCTTCTTCTCCTCCTCCAGCTGTTGGCTCTGCTCTTCCAGCTGCTTGGTTTCTCTCGCAAACTTCTTTTCCATGTCCTCGACGAGGATCGTGTGGGCGCGGTGCTGTGAGGGCGAGGCATCTGAGCCGCCGGAGATGGCCTTGTCCTTCTCAACAATAGCGGCCTGAGCGTCCGCCAACTGTTTGCGCAGCTTGTCTTTCTCCGAGTGCAGGTTATCGACTTCGCGGGTGAGGTCGTCGCATTGCTCTTGAAGCTTGTCGCGCAGGTTGGTCTCCTTGAAGAAGTCCTGCATGATCTGAGCGCTCCGCCTTTTCATCTCCACATCCATCTCGGCACGTCCCGTCGGCGCAGTATCCGGACGCGGCGGCTCCTCGCCGAGTTTCGCCATAGAAGCCCTGATGGGCTCAAGAGCGCTCTTGCGTTTTTCGGTTTCGGCATCAGAGGCAGCTTTGTCCTTGAGAGGCGCACGGCGAGGGGTGACGACGACGGGGCTCTCTCTGTGATGAAGTTAGCAATTGTATTATCCCGGCGGCCAATGCTGACTCACGCTTCTTCGGCTGTGTCATCTGTTTCCGGCGCTGGTGGTGGAGGGGCGGAGACAGACAGCTTCTTCGCAGGCCCAGCCGGCGCCTTCGCTGTTGCACCTGCCGTCCGTGTTCCCGCCGTGGGCCGAGTAGCGGTCGGGCGTGTTGATGCAGCAAGAGAGGCGCGTGGGGCAGTGCGGGTTG